ATGCGGCCCGTGCTGATTTCCCGTAGCGCTGCTGCCAAAGTCTTTTGCTGGCAGCTATGGCGCGGTGCATGTCGGGGAGGGAAACTGCCCGGGGAGGAGGGGCCGCCTCGGAGCCGGTTGGATTCCACGTGGTGCGCTCTCGAGGACGAGGGGAGACTCGGAAAAGAGGGAGAGAGAGGCGACGCTTTGCGACGCTCTTCTTTTGCAGCAGCGCGGTCAGGCGCGATTGCCGTATATCGAGTAACGAGATACCGGCTGGCGTAGAGCAGCTTTGCCTGTGTGGCTCTCGAGCCGGCAGCGGGGAGGAGGAGGAGGAGGAGGAGAGGAAGGCGAGGAGGAGGCGCGGAAGAATAGAGGGCTCCGCCTTGCCTCACCCGCTCTCGCAGCCGCTTTCCCCCTTCTTCTCCCCACTGTACCTGGATGGTCCGCGTCGCGGCGGCGGCGGGGCCTCCTCCACCTCCTCCTCCTCCTCCCTGGTGCCTGCGGCGGCGGCGGCGGTGGTGGTGGCGGGCGGGGGGCTTCTCAGGGTGGTGGGTTGCCGTCTGAAGAGGCAGCCAGCCCGGGCGCTGAATGAAGATGGACTATGACTTCAAGGTGAAGCTGACCGGGGAGCGGGAACGCGTGGAGGACCTCTTCGAGTACGAGGGCTGCAAGGTGGGGAGGGGGACCTACGGGCACGTCTACAAGGCCAAGCGGAAGGACGGGTGAGTGAGTCGGGGCGCTTGCAGAGGTTGGGCCGGGCGGTCGCCGCCCTCTTTTCCTTCCTTCCTTCCTTCCTCACCCCCCCCCACCCCCACCCCGGTGACTTTCGGACGCCGCCTTTCCCCAACCTGCTGGCCTCCAGATGTGCCAAACTACAGGTCGCATCGCTCTCCGTTGGGCAGGCTGCCCAGGCTGTAATCGGACCCGGCTGGAGGTCGCCAAGTTAGAAAAGGTTGCCGCAGTCCGTCCGTCCGTCTCCCTCCCTCTCACCCTCCCCTCTTCTCCTTCTCGCAGTCTCTTTCCTCCCTTTTGTGGGGTCGAGGCCGTCGGTTTTTCTGCCTGCCCCGGAGCCATTCTTGAGGGTTTTTCGGTCTGCCACGCAGCCTGCCTCGCTATGGTCCCGGACAACGACGGGAACGCCGTCACTTTCTCCTCCGGTTTGCCCTTTGGGAGAGACCTGTGGAGCTCTGATCAGGCTCTGACCCCAAACCTCCTCTCGAGTTTGCTTCGGTGTATATAATGGCTTGCCATCCACGTATGGGGTGTGGGGGGGAAGGGTATGGTAGCCCGTTGAAGCTTATGCAATGACTCTTAAGTCTTTGTCAAGCCATAGGTACATTCGATTCTTGACGATTGTATTTTATTTTTTTTCTTTATGTACACAGAGAGCATATGCACCAAAGACAAATTCCTTGTGTGTCCAATCACACTTGGCCAATAAAGAATTCGATTCGTTTTGCAGCTTCACCATCTCCAGATAAAATGGGGCACAAGTGGGTAGGTGGGTGTAGCGTGTTGGGAAAAGACCCTTCTTTGCATTGAGCAACCAGAGAGGATTTTTTAAAACCCCAAACTACATTGCTTTATGCATCTAGTCCTGATTGTTTATGACTCTAGTCGTAAGTCTTCATGATCTCAGGCAAACCCAGGTCTTTTTCATCATCATCTGCCTGATTCTTTATAACTAAGCTGGGTGTTTTTGCAGCGCTTGGTGATTATGTTATGCCTTTTCCCCATATGGAAACATGCCTGCCTCTACTATACTGTTACATCTCTCTTTTTTAAATATTTCTTGCCTATAATTACTCTCCTAAATATTTTACTATCGTCCCCAACTAGCTTTTTGCAATGCTCTTCCCATGCTCTTGGTTGTAATCCAATATTATTTAGTGTTGGATTTAATTACTGACATAATTATCATCAACTGATTAAGTTTTTTCCCCTTGCTCCACCACTGTCATGCTCTATAATTGCTTTTCTGTTTGAAAGTATAAATAAACCATTGAATAGTGGGATGAGAATATATTACTAAAATGAGATAGCAGATAACTTCCAGAACATAGCCTCTCTTCATACTTATCCTCTTAAGGTTGTGTCTTTGGCTTTTATGTTAACAATACCTCTTGTCTCTTATCCTACTAAGGTAGTAGCACATTCTTGTTTTCATAGCTGATATTAATGAGTATGGTTTTATTTGTTGCGTTTCCTGCAGTCTTCATCTTATACTATACATAACATCCTAATAAATACAGACTTCAGCAAACAGCCAGCATTATTATTATATTATATATTATTATCTTGGGTAAAAAAAATTTTTTAAGAAAGCTCCATGTGAATATAGTGGCTAACAGTTTGAAAACTATTTTATCAGTTTTGGGCAAGTTACATTTGATTTTTAATTTAAGATATATTGTGCTGCTGTAAAATTCCTTGCTGGCTACATATATTTCTTTGTCTACCATAAAAAGGATGTGTTTTTTTAATGTGAACTGTTATTCAATTAATATATTTAAAGCAGTAAAAATTATTTTACCAAATGACATACTTTTAAAAAAGATTCAATAACCTTTGCTTTCTTAATACACTATATACACTTCTAGTTGTAAAATGTGAACAACAGGATGTTAACTTTCAAGATAGTCTTTAAGGATCCTAGCTTTTATAGAATAGCATGAGTTGGCAGAAAATAAATATCAGCTTTGGTTAGATTTGTGGTTTAAAAGTGCCCAAACTATCCTTACCCAAACTTTTAGTAGGGATTATTATGTCCATCTGGTGCAATTGTGGCCAAGGATAGTAATCTGATCTATACCTTTTCAGTGCTTCTTAAAAGTACTCTATGAAAGCCTCAATTGACCAAAACCTGTTTGGTTGCAGAAGTCAATATCTGTAGGCTTAGCTAGTGATAGGCATGTCATGTGAAAGATTGTGACTTGGAATATAATAGGAATAAATGGTAAAAAGCCCGAATTAATGAATATACTGAAAGAAATTTGGTATCTCATGTATCTGAAACTAAAGAGGAAGGATGTGGTTGATCTAAAGAAGATATCATTTTTGTGGGCTCGAGTTGACAGACATCTAGAAAATTGAAACCATAGAATTAATTAATTAGGAATAAAAAGATCAATAACCTTTGTTCTCTCTCCCCTTCCCTCCCTCCCCCCCATATATGTATGTATGTATGTACTAAAATAGGAGTCTATAGATTGTTAAGAGTCTAGTAAATGGTAATGTAAGACTCAAATGTTAACTTTCAACATTCTGGATGAACAATTTGGTGGGAAAAATATTCAAGCAACATGAATAATATGGTAATGGGATGAAAAAATGCAGAAAAATTATTGGGCTATTTAGAGATCCAGGAACAAGTGAAAATTGAGGCTTTAATGAGCATCTACTTAGAAAAAGATCTATTTTGAAGATTTAGTTTAGGCATAAATCTGTTTATAATATTCATTCCTTCAGAAACTCTGTATACAGAGAGAATGAATATAATTTCCTTTTAGTATGGAAAGTAAATATATTTCTATATATATTTAATATGTGTATCTTATGAGTATAAAAAGAATATTATTTCAAAAATATTTCAAAAATTGATTATTATAGGATTTGGATTTATGCATTTCTTCCATTTTTATATGCACACTTTATTTTATTGTAAGTTCTGGCAGCATCTGATGTAGACTAGCCAACAAATATTGCAAATATATGATTATTTATGATAGAAGGCTTAGAGAATAAATGAAGATTGCAAGGGGGATGAAAGGTTCTGAATGTGGGATTGAGCATTTTTGGTAGTGCCAGGAGTCGGTTTTGAGTGAAATGAACATGAAAGAAATGAGAGATATTTCAAGTAAAAAAAAAAGAACAGTTTTGACAAGAAATAAGTATGAGTTCTAGCTGAAAGAATAGTAGTGGACAGATTCTCCCAGTAGAATGATTGGTATTTGAACATAATAGATGATGTGAAAATTGCTTGGGATAAAGTGGAAAGAATTATGTTATCGGCTGCCAGAAAAAAAGTGGCGTAATACTAATGGAAAATATGTAAAAGAGTGTTTGGTGAATTGAAAGTGGTTTTGGATGAAAAATTGTGGGCAATAGAAAAATTGCTACAAAAACAATGATTAGAAGATGATGTATGATATACAAAAAAGTAAAATATAGTTGCAGATAATATAGTCAAAGAGAACAAGAAATGATTAAGATTAAAAGAGGAAAATAAAATACTGTGTAAACAAGGGTCTGCCATTTTAATGAATTAAATTCAAAATATGTCATCATTTACAATGATACTTATATGAGGAAATATTAAATTATTATTTTGGAGATCTAAATGGAAATGAGAGTGATATGTCAAACATTAAATTGAAAAGAATGCTATACATGTAAGTATTGAAGAAAAATGGATGACAAAGTCACAAACACAGTTAAAAAATGGTTAGGCTACAAGTGTAAGTTGTACACTGTCTATTATTAAAATATAGCTAAAGCTTGGTTAGAAGGTGACTGTGTGACTTGTTTAACATATATAAAGGCTGAATGATTGCCTAGTGATTAAAAAGTCATATTAGTCTTGCATGTAAAGATAGCAGGAATAAATGTAAAAATTGCAGTGATCTTGACACATTATTCAATATGCTTGCAAATCTATTTGGCTAAATTTTGCACTGAGTAGAAACTAGGACACCATGGGTTCTACTCCTGCCTTAAGCACAAAGACAGCTGGGTAACCCTGGGCAGGTCACTCACTTTCAGCCATAGGAAGAATGCAGTAACAAACTAGTTCTGAAATCTTGTCAAGAAAACTGCAGGGTCTAGTCCAAGTAGTCACCAGGAGTCAGCAATGACTCAAAGGCAGGCAACACAAAATGTTTGGAAACATATTTGGTTGAATTGAGATTGGAAGTAAGTAAGACATTTGGGAAGTGCTGTGCAGCTTAATGCTAGGCAAGAGAATTATGATTGCTCTTAAGATTGTTGAGAAATATGTGAATATATATTTTAAAACATACTATTGACAAAACTGCCAATTGAGGACCAATTTTGGCTCTAAAGATCACTTCATACATTCTGAGTGATGCATAACTTGAGTGAAACTTTTAGTAATTTAAATCTCCTATCACAGTAGAAAAGAATTATTGTAAATATAATGAATGACTGAATGTGATAACTTGCTCCAATAAAGCTTTCCATCAGTGAATTTGGTAAGAAGCAGTTTTGGCTTCTTTATAATTATTATCTGACTGCTCCAAAAGGCCAGCCAACACTCCAATGTATGCGTTCAGAGAAATACAAAAAAACAATTCCAATGGTTTTCTATAATGTGCAAACCAAGCCAAAATATTTTTTGTAAGTGACTTAATATATAATGTTCACTCAAGCAATTAGAATCCATGAATTTGTTCAGTTTCTGGTATATTTTTATAACATGTCAGTTCTGCATTATGTTATATTATCGTATTTTAAACTATATTTAGCTTCCCAGACTCCTTATGGTCAGAGAGGGGGACATATAAATTGATTGAATGAATAATAAATTAGACTTTATCTAATGAACTATCACTGCATAGTGTATGAAGCACAAGCTTTCAAGATTTTTATTCAATAGAATAGTAGTTTAATATAATATATAATTCTTCTGAGTTGACCATCCATGGTCTACATGCATGCCAATATTGTATACAATACAAGGAAAATAATAGTTTTCCCCCCGCTACATTTTTCTGTATATCAGCTGCAGTTCCTTGGAAATATATTTCTTTTTGTTGTTTTTAATGTAGGATTATCTCACTATAGCTGAATTGGTCAATTCTCCCCTCCCCCATGCTTTATTTTTCTCCAGACTTTTCTTATTGTACTAGCACTTACATACAAGTGCAGTACTCTGGATTATTTATTTAAAATATAATACATTTTCACGTATTTTTATGACTTAATAGCAATATAAAGCTTTTGTAAAAAGAGAATTAAATCCAAAGTCGAAAGTTTGCTGCAATAAATAGGGAAAAAACAGGCATAGCACCTACAGTGGTACCTTGGTACTTAGCAGCTTTGAAACTCATCAAATTTGATACTCAACACATTTTAATGCACAAATTTTGTCCCAGTACTCCCTTATTGTTTGTTTGGTACTTGACACCCAAGCTAGAACTTGTCAATGTCAGCTGCCTTCTGACTTGCTATATTATTCTTTATGGAAAATACCGTTCGGCATTGAGAGTTTTTGGTAGTCTTTACACCTCTTGGATTAATGATGAGTAGCAAGGTGCCACTGTACTAACAAAATGTGATTCTTTTTAAAAAAAATAGAAATGTAGACAAAAATGAATAATCTTTGAAAATATAATTAAATGAACAAGGTCTGTAGACTATATTAAACTCTGCATCCAGATTAAATCTCCTCGCCAAAGTTAGCGAAAGTCCCAGGGTACTAGAAGATGAATAAGAAAATATTTGATTTCGGACTTAAAATCTAAAATTTATGATATATAAGTAAAAGGTGTTATAAACTTTTCTCCCCTAAAAGGGAGAAAAAAATAACTGATATAGATATAGCTCTTTGTTACTATGTTCTTAAAAATAGTTTTGCTGAGAAAGGACAGCCAAGTAAATTTTGTGCAATTTTTAATTCTTTGACCAATATTATGGAATCAGGTTGATCTCACCCTTGTTGAGATTCTTTTCTTCGGAGGTATAATAACAAGACCAGTCTGTTAGAGAATGGAAGAGTTAGGGTTTATCCAGGTTACAGTTTTCTTGCAAAGGCTGCCCTTGGACTGCACTGTGAACTGGAGAGGAAGCTTCTACGCTTTGGTTTAAACGAGATTGCAGGGGAGTTAGCTGAGGGCAGGAAGAATAAATTTGGGTCTGATAAGAGATGGACTAGATTTGATTTTGGTCATAGCTAAGAGATAGGAAAACTATTTATTTTGCCCACTACGCAGAAAGCCAACGTTATTTTGTTCAGGCTGTAAAGGTTGCCAAGTGTCCTCAGTTAGAGGCTCAGAGGTATGAGCTAATACAAGGGCACTCTCTGGTCATTCCAGGTTATCCTGAAATACAGTATACATAGATTAGAGTGATAAGATAAAAGATTTTTGAGATGTGCATAGTAAATGATAGATACACTGATTAGCGTGTTCTCTGTTATCCTAGTGAAGTACTGTAATAAACTTTGACTTTATTTATGAAGGCTGGCAAATCCAAGTTTCATTGAGGCTTCGCCCCTGCTAAGATAGCAAGACTTAATTCTAAAAATACCTAGGACTATATTTATAGGCTTATGTTTCCAAAGACTGAATGATGGAAAAAAAATAACCTGTAGAATTATTCTCACATTGTGAGATTGAAGAGAAGGCCTCATTTTAAAATTTGAAAAGTATAGCAGGAATACAGAGAGGTCTCCTAGAATTGA